GTTAAGGGAAAAATCAGGCAGTACAAGGACCGTACAATCAGGAGAGTCGAGTCGGCGAGGAGGAGGTGACCCTTGACCAACTTTTACTCAAAGTTAAGTTAAAGATCAGTACGAGGACAATCAGGAGAGTCGAGGAGGCTTGACCCTGACACTGTCGCACAGGCCAAACGGCGAGAAGAGAAAAGACAGCGAGAACCAAACCCAATCCTGCCAACTGCTGCCCCCCAAACTTAACTGATACCTTCACTTAACTGCGCGCTGGACAATACCCCCCCGCCGCCATGCCAGCGATTCTTGCGTCGATCATGATGATTACCGTGGGATCACCCCCCATCCCTCCCTCCCTCTCGTCCTCCCTCCACTCCCTCGTTCCTGCATCTTGGGATTCCCGCTCCCATCAGCCACTCCGATTTTGCCCCCATCCCCACTCTGACCGAATTACCCTCATCCCCGCGCTGAAACGTCGAGAGAGTCAACTCGCGGTCAACTCTGAAACCTTTGACTACTTTTTTCAAGTCTTGCGACCCGGCCATGGCGGAGACTGGAAAGACGGCCAAGGAGAAGCAGGTGAGATGAGAACGTGTTGAAGACAGAGACTGTTGAGAAGATTGTTTGTGAAGTTGATCTGTTTTCAATTTACTCCGACTCGGCGAGTCCCTGTGTCCCATGATGACAACTCAAGTTGCAAACTAAAATCGCTGCCAGGAGTACAAACGGAGTTTGCTTGAAAACTTGAGCGAAGAGGCTGAAGATATCGGTGACTTTGCTCTCAAACCTTATCTCATGTCCATTCTCATTCTTGTTCCGTTAGTTGCGATCAATGCAAAGATAAACAAGGTAAGGCTGCTCACGGCGTCAAAAGTCCCAAAAATCTCAACCGCTTGCCTGCACAGACCTTGAGGGATCTCCGAAATCCTCCTGTGTATGATCTATCAGGGAAGGAGGGAGGAGAGAAGAACCTCTCCAACGCTGGGGTCGGGCTCCTGCTGAGTGCTCCTGAGAAGTCAGGTTCGCACGGGACGCACGTCATCGTAGACATGCTCGTTCCAGGTTCGTGCCATGTGCGGCTCCTGACCTTGAGGGATGACGCCATGCCAACGAGCAGGAGGCGCCGCGGAGAAGCAGTTTGCGGGAGTGATCCGACCTGATGACCTCATCACGGCCGTCAGGGTTGATCTCCAGCCTTCTGCCAAAGCCATGGGCTGATAGGATGTGACAGGACGACAGCAAGGAGACAGAGTTTACTTGCACCACAGGCTTGTCCGTGCAGCAAGTCAAGGACCTCATCGTGGGAGCTCCGGGCTCCACTATCTCCCTCCGACTGCGCAGTCAAGAGTCGGGGGTGAGAGAGAGAGTCGCAGGCGGTTGACAGAAGCTGATGGGAGACCGCAGGAAGTGTACGAATGTCGAGGTCTCATCAGGGGACTGGAAAAATTCAGACGCGGCGCTGAGCAGGATGAAAGGGAGAGGGAGCAAGAGAGAGCAGAGGAGAGGGTTGAAGAGACCGCTGTGGAGGAGCAGGCAGAAGGCGCGCCAAGGAGCAGAATCAGGCTCCAAGCAAAAATGCCATCAGTAGCGCCACCTGTTCAGCAGGTTACCTCCTCAAAGCACAGACGAAGCTGATGCTGTGGAACAGGTTGAGTTTCTTCCTCAAGTGAAACCTCAATCGCTAGCAGCCAGCAGAGGAGAAGAGAAGGAGAAGCCAAGCAAGAACTCCGGGGGCACTCCCGCTGGACGCTCTTGTGTGGACGTGTTGCTTATGCTGCTGGTTCTTGTCGGACTGGTGGCTGCCGTGCTGGTGCAGCTGCAGGTACACCGTCACTCAACTACGAGCTTGCGAGCTCACTAGTTGCCTTCCTGCGCTACCTCACAGGGCCAGGGCACACTGGCGGCCCATGAGCGGATGCTGAGGGAGGAGATGGAGGCTCAGTTCCATGAGAAGTGAGGGGCTGTCGTCCTCCTCCGAACGTGTCTGACGGGTGCTGGGTAGGGAGAAGAAGTTCAACTGCACTCCACTGGTTCACGCGGAGCAGCGCAAGTGACTCTCTAGAACTTTCATGGTTGCAGTCTTGACTCGAACATGCCCAGATGTCAAACAAAGATCGATCAAACTCTCAAGGTCCTACTCTGTGTCCAACTCTTTCCTTCCCTGTGACCTGCACATCGTTAACTCATACCCTTGTTTCCTAGGAAAATCAAAAAGAGTTCGCCACGCGTGAGAAACAGGTGTAATAGGGAGTATTCCTCCCTCCCTCCCTCCTTCCCTCCTTCCCTCCCTCCCTCCCTCCCTCCCTCCCTCCCTCCCTCCCTCCCTCCCTCCCTCTCTCCCTCCCTCCCTCTCTCCCTTTGCTCCCATACTACTCACTGGCCGTCGCTGCTCAACTTTGGACCAGCTACTGGCGAGCGCGGAAGCAACTTCGGCCAAGAAGTCATCGACAAAGGCAAAGGAAATCTTCAGGTTGCCTCCAGCCCTTGCGGTAACCGCTGCTGACATGCCAACCAGGCGTGTAGTTCACGAGTTCGTTGAGTATCACGACCGATGGGACGAGATGGTTGACCGAGGCGGAGGATGCGGCGGATTGACCTTGCTAAGCAGCCGCTCAAGTCCAAGAAGAACAGCCTAGAGGACGAATTTAGGTACAACTAGCTCCTTCCTTCCATTCTTCTATCGCATCCTTGACCTCCTTTTCTCCTTCGCACCCTCGTTCCATCCGTCAATCCCGCAGTCCTTCCCTCCCTTGCCAACCCCTTTCCTTCCTCATCCTCCACTTACTCGTGTCTGTGACCCGCAGGTCTGGAATCATGAAGCTACTCAAGAGGACGCGGGACATGGTGCACTGAGGCGGGGAGATCGACTTGCGTTGAGTTGCGCTCACATGAATCAGGAGCACTCGAACCCCCACAAGACCGTCACCGACAACTCCTGCTCCTCGTGGGACTGCCTCTCCTCCTAGCAGCTTCCCTTCGGAAGCTCCATTCAAGTGATGAACTTTTGTATTACTTTCAAAGTGTTTGGAATAATTCAAAATGATTTCGATCGTCTACCCGGCGCCCGGCGCTGCGCTCCTCGGCTTATCTCCCCGCAAGCATAAAAATCGTCTCCCATAGCAAGAGGTCACGAGGGTCCCGAGATGATATAGAGCGCGCGTGCAAAGAAAACTTTCACTGCACACAGCAGCACTGCTGCTTCGGAGCGACTCCCATGCTGATATCAGGCTTGTCTGGCAACTTGTTGAGCTCCTCGATGGATTCCATGGCAGAGGGTCGCTTGGCCGGGTCATGCTCCCACATGCGAGAGATAATATCCTCCAGCCCCTTCCAGCCCACGGCAGAGAGGGGAGGACGGTCGTGGAGGCTCTTGGGCACTGCACCATTCTGCAGGGCCACACGAATCTCGTTGAGGTCTTTGCCAGGAGGGCGCTGGGAGGTAGCGATGTACCACATTATGAGAGAGGCGCTGAAGACGTCAGCCTTCTCGTTGTAGTTCCCTTGCCGCTGGCTCAAGACCTCAGGAGCCATGTACCTCACCGTCCCTGTGTACCCCTTGTGGTGCTTCGTGTCGCGTTGCGACCTCTCCACCTTCTTGCTCATGCCGAAGTCTGCGAGCTTCAGCGTCTGCAGGTCCTTGGTGAGCATGAGGTTGGCTGGCTTCAAGTCTCTGTGGATGATGATGGGGTCGCGGTTGTGCAGAAAGTCAAGCGCACGGAGGAGATCGAGGCTCCAGCCGAAGATGGTGGGCTTGGGAAGCCGCGAGCCGTTCCTGCTGGAGATGTAAGTCTCCAGCGTCGGGCCATCCACGAACTCCTCGAAGATGATGGGGCTGTTGGGGTTGACGATGCATGCTCCCCAGAAACGCACGACGTTGGGGTGGGGCTGGACTGAAGTCAAGATCTCCAGCTCCATCACTAGATCCTTGTACGCTTGAGAGCCAGCATCCACTCCGTTCTTGAGCTGCTTGGCAACGCATGTCATGCCGCTGAGCTGGCACTTGTGAATGATGGCATTGGCTCCTTCTCCGATCTTGGGTCCCAGCTGATATTCAGATTCCTTGACTTCCCAATTCCCCTTGGTGACATTCCCGAATGTGAGGACTGGGCAGTGAACGGTGGTATCAACAACTGTGTTCATTCCTGGAAGAAGGGTGGCGGTGACTTGTGGTAACGGTGGACCGCGTTCTGTTATTCAACCGGCATGCTCATAACCCACCTGAGGAAAACGATTGTCAGCAACAAAGATAAGGCTTATTTCAAGAGAACTTGTTACACGTGAACTAGTCAAACTAATGCTCACCCTAAGGCCTATGATGACAACCATTATCTACCTATCATTCTGGCTTGCCACAAGCATACATACACAGTTTGCCTGCCCTGTGATTATATTCTCCAAGTGCTTATCCGTCTTTTTTCATCTCTTCCATCTCCTTAACTTTCTTCTTCGCCCTCCCCCACTTTTCCTCCCCCTTAGCCACTCTTCGTCTCTCCGTCTTTGGTCAACAATCTTCCCGTTCTCTCCTCTCTTTCAATGCATCCAATCTCTCAGAGTTCCTTCTTCTCGCATCTCAAAGAGCTTCCTGCATCAACCGCTCTCCCCACTTCTCCACCGGCACAATTTCCATCGCCATGTTTGACCCGCAGGCGTCAGTATTCCCCACATGACCCCACCCCTCCCCAACGGCCAGGTAAGGTACCCATGTGCGATCCCAGACTATTTTCACTCCTGGCCACTTTCCATGTTTCGATGGCATCTAGTCAGGCCCCACATGCCCTCTATCGCCATATTTCCTTGTCCATTCCTATACAAGTTCGCCTCCAGTCCCCATCCTTCCAGCCCAGCTTGTTGGAGCAAACCGCCCACCATCAACGTACTGAGTCAACCAGTTACACGGGTACCACCCCCCACCCCCGATATCCCTGGCGAGGAGTTTTAACTTAACTCTGCAGAGCTACAAGCTCGCATCCCTGAATGTACGTTACAGATGTAACGAAGAATGTCAACATCACAATGGCTTGCCGCATGCGTAACGGGTTGACCGTTACATTCCAAAGTTTCCCCAGCAACGGCGCCGCAGCCCGGGCTCAGCCGCTGCGGCAGAGCCGGGCAGAGCGACCGGGTACGGTCTTCGGAATCTGAGTGACTGAGTGCTGCCGCCCGAGTGGCCCGGCCCGCCGAATGTCCAGGCTGTTGCCGCGCAGTGCCGCACGGCACTTTTCGAACTTCGGAAGTTTCACCTGCCACAGGCTCAGACCGCCAAGTTCCGTCACGGAAGGTGACTGGCAGTGACTCTGCCGCTCTCGGATCTGGCCGCAGTGGTCGCCCGTCACTACGGTGTGAACTTCAGTCACTGGCTGGTCAACGGTTCAACGGGTACCGTGAGCAGAGCGGAATGATAGTATTTGTACCCGTAAGGCCTGCAGCCTGGGCACTGGACGGCACTCGCGGCTGTCACAGTGTTTGCCTTTGCCGGCGGCGGTCACGGTGGCATGGGAATCCGACGACGACCTTCAAGTTGGTGTCAAGATTCCGGTCCGTGGCAACTAGGGACTAGCCTGCCAAAAGTTCAGCACACCGTACATTGAAGACTCGCTTGAAGGACCTCAATGCAGAACTGAAACATTTGGAACAAAGCCCTATTGAGCTGGGTCTTAACTGACCAGCTCTTCAATGTGAAGACGACACACGTTCCTACCCTCCAACGTTTCTTGCGCAGCATTCAAGTTCCCCAACTGAGCGTTGACAGCAAGTTGCTCAGTGCAAGTGCTTCGACGTCGCAAATCTGCTGATGGGTTGCGGCACGGAGACCTCAAAGTTTTGTACTTTGCATATCAACGGGGTTGCCTGCCGCTACTCGAAGTTGGGCAGCCTCGGAAGCTGGATAATCTGCCAACAAGGCTCGCTGACGCTTGGAAAAGTTGACTCGAAACTACAAAAGCTGCCAGAGGTCCTGAAGAGGTTGGGCGATGGGATCCGGTCCTTGCCGTGAGCTGCGCCAAGGAGGCATTCTTCCCAGATCCCCTGCTTCATCAAGTACCTGTGAGTGTCCAAGAAGGAAGCCGGCATGGGGACGACGTCCCCAGCATGAACTCGCTGCGAGTTGATGGATCCAAATCAGCTCCATCATTATCCCGATGCCGGTAAGAGTGGCTGGCTGCGTGGTAGGTGACGTCCAATGAATGCTGAAAGATGGAATTTCCTCCCGCCCATCCAACAAACTTGGCATTCGCAGACCGGAACGCCGTGTAGGCCATGCCCTTCTGTGGGTTGAACCCACTCCCCCCATCACTACAAGGCAACGGGCGTGTGCAGTAAGCAAACTGAAGGTCCGTTGGACTGCAAGTCAGGTAAAGGCTCTGCGAAGATTGCTGTGGCCACTGAAACGCCTTTCCAAGGAGATGCCTTCCAGTGTTGCTGCAGTGGACAAATTTTTTCATGGCTTCCGGTCATGCTCCAGCTAACGGGGGCTACTGTGACAAATGTGATGGGTTGCTACGACATCCTGGGGAGGTGACACACATGGTGACCTGCAGGCACCGCAGCCCTTGACCGACGGAGGGATGCGCATGCCAAGTGCCGCAGTGAGGTATTAGTGACCGGGTCCGATCACCTGGCTTAACGCAAACTTGGCCCTGACTCGGAAAGCGGCAGCGCAGAGGAAGATCAATGATCATCTGTATGCTGCGTATGCTCAGCATGTCCCACCACAGGCTTTCCTACCCATCATCGCCTGCTCGCTTCCTGATCTTTGGTCAGCTCTGAGGGCTGCCGCAGTGCGCTGGTCACTACTGGCACAGTTGCAGACCGCAGTTGAGTGAAGGTATCAGTAAAGTTTGGGGGCAGCAATTAGAAAGATTAGTATTGGCGTCACGAATTTCTCAGTGTCTTGTATGTTGAAACCTCTTCGACCGCATCCTCGGTCATAATTTCGCTTAACATTGAGTAATATCATCGACAGTCAGTGACGGCAGCCTCCCGCGACACATGGTGTGACCCCGCCTCCGAGGCTCGGACTGCCTGGCACTACGGTACTGGCACTGATCGGACTTGAGCCTAGGAGCGAGGTCATCCCTACCTGAGTCCGGCCGGATGGGCGACTCGGCGACGCTGACGCGGCTGCCGCCGGCCAGTGTTGACACGGTTCCAGTCCGGGAGCCGCCGCCGCACTGCGGCACCGTCTCCGACCGTGAGTCACTGAGTGCCGCAGTGCTGATCATGGCAGTGTGAGAGTACGGTCTATCCCGGCTGCAACACTGTACGGTGGCCGCCCTGGTGACTCAGTGCACTCAGTGCCGCAACTTGTCAGTTGAGTGAAGGTATCAGTAAAGCGAAACTTGTCGGACGGCCGCTGAGTAATGTAGTCACTTGCGAGTCTTGGAGCGCCCGGATGTACGCCGGACCTAGATGCGGCGGCGCCAGGCACCCGGCGGCACCCCGCGGCGCTTCTGATTCCATCAGATGATCATTGTTCAACTTGTTAAAAATCATTGTTCAACTTTCAATCGGATCAGTGCCGATGATCTGAGTGCCACCGTGACAGCACAAAGGCAACTGCCTTTGTGATATCACAAGGGCAAACCGCAATAATAGATCTCTTAAGTTTAGGGCAGTGCGGCTGCAGATGCCTTTGGAACAAGATCACTCGTTATCGCCAAGTTCGAAACATGATGATGACAATGATGAATCACGCCACGGAGACTGTGCGATCATGCCAGGTTGCGACATTTGATATCCTTGAGTAAGAGGATTGCTCACAGGCAATCAAAACACAACATATGCAGTCTACTCATATATGACATTTTACATGGTAAAAGACTACAAAGCATCTTCATTCCTCATTTTAAAGGCGTGTGTGGACAAAAGAGGAATGTGTTGGAACTGCTGTTTCGAAATCACGAATTTAATTCAGAAAAAGGAAAGAATATCACAAAAATTGAATCTTACAAAGAAAAGTAAAGAATTACAGAATGTACAATGCATCGAACTATCGATGCTCGAGTATTGAAGGCAGAATCGCTTCTGTCCCTACTTCCTTCGAGGCGATTCGTTTGCGAAGGAGTTGAATTGAGCTCCACAACGCTGTAAGTTTCTTTCTCTTGCATTGAGAAAACGTCGTCCAGACCTTATCATCGAAATGGAAAGGCCTTGTTGCATGAGGATCCTCCCTTCTGTGTTGGGACTCGGATCCTTCAGCGTGGACTTCCGTCATGCTCGGTCGTGTTCTGCTTGCTTGCCTCTCCTTGGAGATCATATTCAGTTCAGTTACGTGCTCCGCTCCGTCAGCATCGTGATTGAATTGGTCAGCATGATACTGGTGACGTGCCAGATGTCAGCATGTCATGTACTATACCGGGTACTGATCTGCTGAAAAATGGGGTAGTACCTGCCGCTGCGTCGTTTCGGAGCAAATGTACAAGCCGTGACTGGGTGCGTCTGTCACGTAAAGTCAGGAAGTAGCAACGAAATCACTACCTTTCGGAAGGTATGCCTTGTCTTCTTCATATCCGCCTGAGTACCTTACAGCTGGTCTCGGACAAAACTACCGGCTCTTTGGACTAGACTGAAGGGGGTACACAATAAAGTCATGATACCAACTGGAGGAATTTGATGGTCAAAAAAGGATATGTGGTAGTAACGAAGAAATCAAAGCAATTACAGCATGGAAGGATCATGATAAAGTGGAAAATAACAACGATTCGGGAGTCAGCACCGTGACTGAGATACAGGTCATGGTTTCAGTGACTCTGCCCCGGCGCCGCCGGTCACTCCTGTCAAACTTGAAAGTTCATCGACGGTCATCAACGACCGTGACCGCCGCACCGGGGCGCGGCGCGGCCCGTGCCGCGCCGCACGCTCCCCCCCGGCGGACGGTCCCCAGGGGCCGGCACCCGGCGGCGCCCGGGCGGCCCGGGCCGCCGCTACCGTACCGCGGACGGTACCCGGCCCAGTGATGCCGGGACGGCGAAAACCCCAGCGTACTACCGTACACCGTTTGAATCATTTGAACGGACTCGGGCCCGAGTCGCCGGAATGCGCGGCCGCGCTGCCGGGCATGCCACGGATCATCGGATCATTGAGTCATGGCCGATGATGCCCGGGCCGGGCCGGTGACCACCGTAGGTGACCGCCCGGCGCCGTGAGCCTACGCGGCCCGGAGTCCGACCGGCCCGGTGACTCGAGCCCGGCCGCCCTCGCGGACCGTCCGATTCGACTAGAGTCCCCGAGTCTAGTCCGACCGAGTGACTCACTGTTCGATCATGGCACGGCGCGGCGGCGCCGGGCCGGCCGGAACCGAACCGTTCCCCGGGCCCCGCGGCCGGGCCGCCCGGCCCTCAGCCGACGGTCTGCGGAGTTGGATTTCCAGGGACCCGTGGTAGCGCGGGGAGCAGTGGGGGTAGGATAGAGCAACTTCCACGTGCAGAATTCAACGAAATATCACCCACCTATACCCCATAAATTATATAAGTAAGTAAATATTAGTATTATTTGTTTTGACTGTATACCTAATCATGGTAAATTACTGAAAACCCTATAGAAAGGTAGGAGCAGACTGGGCAGTCAACACTACCCCTTGCCGCGGAAGCTTCTAGAAAGTCTGGAGTGCTCTATGTCTGAGCGGGAAAGAACGCAGAGAAGATACGACAGGGAGCAAGTGGAAGCAGAAACAAAACTGAGGCATAACACTGTTCATAGACGAGTACATGTTGAAAGTGAATGATGATTGTTGTATGACCTTAACATGCAAAGGTTAGAATAGCAGAAGAAAGACGATGAAGGAAGGTAGATGACAAATTCATGTTCGGGTTGCGAAACATTTGAACACATAGGCAAAGTTGTACTTTCGTGAAAGCTTCGAGACATCTTCAGAAATGTGTAAATGTCACTTTCAAGATACAAATGGTATGAGCAGGCTTGTAGTTTACAAAGAAGATCGCTTCGAAGTTGATGCCCGCATCGTGGTACAAGGGCTTCAGTAACTGTTTGCTTGACAACAGAATGGCAAAGTTTGGAGAAGGTGATCCGCGATGGAAAGTTCAGGAGCTTGGAGAGGGAGGAAGAAACGTAAATGGATGGTAACCTTTCTTTCTGTCCTTCGTGCATTGTCCTCCTCCTACCCTCGCATGCTCTGGATTGGCTATTCTGACCATTCTGCAGGCATTGGACCGAGAATGATTGCTTTCCGTTCTTCAAAGAAGAGTTCCAAAAATCATTCGAAGGTTGTGCATCTACTTTCTCTCCTCTCCTCTCACAAACTGCAGGAAATTACGTGCTCCAGAATGTTCGAGACGCATTTCCGGGGTTGACAGGCGACCTCAATTGTTGGAAGGTCGACAAGTGCACTGGAGAAGCATGCGTCAACAGGAGGAAGGGGAACAAAGTTGTGCTGATCTATGAAATCGAGCTCGCAGTGAAATGGGAATCAACGCTGAAGAATGCTGCTGGAGAAGTGGTTTCGACCTCCAAGGGGACGTACGTGATGCCGTGCATCGATACAGTAGAGGATCTCGACAACTTTGAGATTCAAGTCAAGTTCAACAAGGAAGGGGCTGAGTTCAAAGCTGCCAACGACTTCGCCAAGACTCATGGTCAGAAGAAGGTGTGCAGCGAGTCAGGGGATTCTTCTTGTTCTGACTTGGGGCTCAAGGTTCGTGAGATCATAGTTGAGACAATAGAAAAATTGAAGGAACAAGCTGGTCAAACTTGTACCGATAAAGTGACCAGCTCGAACAACCGTGAGGCAGAGAAGGTGAACGCAGACAGTCTTGGTTGAGATTTATCTGAATGTCGCAAATAGCCCAAGTCAAACGGAACCTCTGACGCAAAACCCGAGGCATCGAAGCAGCAGGCTTCCAACGCTGATCACAAGGGAACTACCATTGAGCTGACAACAGAATTCAATGCTCCCGCACGCGAGGTATGAGTCAATGATGGAGCCGAGACCGTTACTGACCGTCCGCAGATCTTTGAATGCTTCACCATCCCGCCTAAGGTGATGGCGTTTACACAGAGCAAAGCTCAGGTGCAGCATAATTTGAGAGTCTGTCGTGAGAGTGAAGGTGCATGCAGGTTGGAACCTCCGTTGGAGAAGAGATCGTGCTCTTTGATGGAGCCATCGTTGGGAAGGTGTTAGAATGTGAAATGAACAGGTATCCATCTCTTCTGGAGTTTGTTCGGTCAATGCTAACAATGCCTCTCCAGCAAACTTGTCTGGGAGTGGAGACAAAGCTCCTGGCCAGCTGGAGTTCGATCCAAGTGCAGCCTTGAGTTTACCGAACCTGGGGAGGGTGCGTCATATGTGTGGAAACGAATCTTCTGTAAGGTTTCCTACAGGAACCTGTCGACTTAAACTAAAACAGACCGGCATCCCATACTCTGACGCTCATGGAAATCATGTAGAGCTGATTAGATTTGGCATTACTGTCTCTCTTTTGGTTGACTGCATACCCAGGACATGCCCCGCGTGGTGGAGGAAGGCTGGAAGCGCAATTTTTTTGACAGGATCAAGATGGTTTTTGGCTTCGGAGCACCAGAATTTAGTTAAGACGAATCAAAGAAAAACAAAGAATAACATCAGATTTTTGCTGACTCAGTTTCAACGTCCGACGGTACGGTCCCTGGGCCCGGCCCGGTGTGCCAGGGGCCGCGGCAGTGCCCGGCCGACTGCCCGGCCAGCGTGATCGGACAGTGTACGGTACCGTAACGACGGCTGCGCTGTAGGCCCTGAGTCTAGCCTAGTTGCTGAAGCCTTCACGGTTGCTGAGTACGGTACTCAACCGTTAATAGTGGTAGTAGTCGGACGGTCGAGTAAGCCTCCGTGAGTTCGACGGCCCATCAGCCAGGCTATTCACTGAGTCTAAACTCAGAGGGACGGTCTCACTGCCAGGCCGCGCTGCGGCCGCCGCTGACTGGCAGTCCCCGGAGTCCTCGTTGGCGCGGCAGCCTGAGAGTGGGCCCATCGCCGCCGGAGGCTGGCCTATCAGTCCGATCGCCACACCGAGGGCCCTCAGGCTGCCGCCGCTCGGAGCCTGCGGTTCGGGTTGCCCTGGCACGGTTTCGGCATTAGATGGGACTCAGGGCCAGCGTGACGCTGCTGACTCCGGCCCGGCGCATGGCCGGGCCCGGCACCGGGCGGTGCGGCAGTGCGGCATTCCGAAACGGCGCCGGGCGAGAGTCCGAAGTTCCCGAACTCGGAACTCGGAACTCGGCCCGAACTTCCTTGGACCGTCGGTTCGGAAGTTCATCATTGGAACTTGCCGCACTGCCGCACTGCAGTGCCAGGCTTCCGAACGGTTCCCGGGGCCTGAGTCACCCCGGGCCCGCAGTGACCGGGCCGGCCCGATCGGCCGGCCAGCCGGGCCGGCGGACCCGGCCAGAATGCCATCTATGGCCGCATCGCCGCACCAGACTTGCGCCAGCGAGGAGGAGGAGGTAGAGGAGGAGGAGGAGGAGGTGAGGACGACATGTCAAGGTACTCTAGTGCCGTAAAAGAAGTTCACGCGCAGATCCCGCAGGAACTTCAAGACATTTTACGCGTCTCCAGCTTTCTAAGGTGCTTTCCTGCCTACCATCTACCTCCCTTGCTGAAAGGATCATGGAAGGGATGCCGGCGATGGCGAGGAGGGAGGAGCTGGAGACAAGATCAAGAGACGTAGCAACGGATGTGAGATGGTAGCGATGGGATGCTCACCTCGTCAAACTTGTAACGCCTTCGTCCAGCGCATGCGACTGGAACCTCTCCCATGGCAGGGTTTTCAGGAGAGGACTTTAGGGTCCTTGGGAGGTCATGCCGGAGCAGCGGCAAGTCTCATGCGGAGATGTTGAATGAGATGTGACGGGCTGCCTCAGCTTTGTGTTCTGAAGCGACTGAATGCATTTGATGGTGACTGGGTTGAGATTAGGAGCCCGAATTCGAGGTGATTGAATAAGAATGAGAACATTTCCTGTATGATAACAGCAAAACTACCGCAGGAAACTTGTTAGGATCAAACTTGTGAAGTGCAGCTGCAAACCTCATGCTTGCTCCATCGCGTCCTGCTCTCGAGGCCGCTCCCTCCTTGTGCGACGTGGGATGATGGAGATGTTGAGGATTGGTGGACAGGAAGAGGATGGGAGAGTGACCGTGAGGAGGTTCGACGAGAAGCTCGAGTGTGCGAAGAGTGTGGTGCTTGCTCGCGTCTCAAGGATAGACTCCGAGGCATCGGATGAGAATGTCAGGTTGTCACATTTGATATCCAATGACTGTCGCCTGACTCGCTCCAGGGCGCTGACCTCATTTCCTTTCAAGAAGTTCGCCTTCGAAATGGTGACATGCTCCTATCTCGAGCAGCAGCTCTGATGACCAATGATTGAAGGATGACATGATCGGCGTGTGGGTTAAGAGCGCGAGATCGATATTAAGAGCGGCGACAGAGCGGGAGGAAGTGGAGGAAGAGGAGAACGACGGTGAAATGAAACCGTGCAAACTGATGACCGCCGTGATCTGACATCGTGCAGAGGAGATTGTAGATTGTCCGCAACAAGTGCGGCGGAACATATTCAAGGCTGGACATACCCTGGTTTTCTTTCAGGTCTTGTGCTTGCAATGTGCCATCAGTATTTAATTCTCCTTGTTTTCAGATTCAGAAAGTAGATGGAGCCATGCACAAACAATACTTTCTCATCGACTCGGATAGCACAAGAGTCACGCTTGAGGGGTCGATCAACGCAAAGGTCTGCCCTGTTGCAGATCTTTCCCTGTCCAACTCGATGCCTTAGGTCCCTCCTGTACCGCTCGAAGCATTCGCACCGCACATGAACGTCGAGATGGTGAAGTCTTTCTGCCCATCCTGTTTGAGAACACCATGATTGCCAAAACGCAATGCGATTATCATCACTGTCGTTTATGTGGAGGGAGGTAGAAGGACACGGACAAGGACCAGGAAGAAGGAAATGCTGCGAGGAGGAGGAGGAGGAGGAGGAGGAGAAAGACGAGGACGAGGACGAGGACGAGGGCGGGAGATGGGTAGAATCGATTTAACTTTCAAGCAGATCGTCACCTTGCACAAGTTGCTGCAGCCTCTGTTTCACGAGTCATTGCAGTCGCATGAAATGAACCTTTCTCTCTTGTTGTTCGGGCCGCAGGTGAGTAGAGGATGGTCCTCAGGTGCGAGAAGAGAACCTGACCATGATGTAGGGGACAGGAAAATGTTCTTTGATGCGGCACACAGCTGCTCGTCTTGGGGTGATGCGCGATTGCGATGATGGGGCGCAGTTTTGACTGTCTCTAAGGTGGATGTTGTGGTTGCAAACTGCGCTAAGTTCAAGATCGGAAGCAGCAAGCAAAAGGATGAAAGTATAGACAAGCTGCTTGAGGTGAACCTGCAATAGCGCTGAAAAGATATTTAACGAATATCTTCTCAAGGATTGCAAACTGCATGCTCCTTGCATCCTCCTCCTTCGCCGCTCAGAATTTTTGCTGGAGGATGAAGAGGGGGAAAGGCAGACAGGGGGAAAATGGTTGAGGCGGATCAGAGATGAATTGATCTCCTTTCATCACGACGGCAAGATGAGAGCATGCAAGAAAGTCGTCGTCGTAGCTTCTGCTGATGATGCAGAGAAGCTTTCATTGCAGACTCGGCAGCTTTTCACACACGATGTGGAAGTGAAGCGGCCGGGAGATGAAGAGAGGGAGGTGCTGATCGATTCGCTTCTGGACCTCTCGGCCAACGCCGAAGGAAGCTTGTCAGCAAAGGTATCCACATCCGATTAGAGTGCCTCCTGACACTGGGATCAGACAATCTCCTCGCAGATGGTGGGGAGGAGCCAAGAGGACATCATCGCCCTTCTCGTGAGATCAGACTCGCTGCCCTCCGTCTCCTTCCTCACGTGCCTCCAGTCCCGCGCTGCTTCTTTGCGCCACCTCAAGGGAAACATCCTCGCCGGGGAGTTGACCGCGGGCAAGCTGACGCTGGGGGACATCAACGAGGCCCTGGACATGCAGAAGGCCCAGCTCGCCACCGCGATCGGAACCCCCAAGGTGCGACGACAGGGAAAGAGGACGAAGAGGACGAGGACGAGGACGAGGACGAGGAGAATAAGAAGGAGAAGGAGGAACCGTATGAGGAGGTGGTGATGGAGGAGGAGGAGAACAAGCAGGAGGAGCAGGAGGAGCAGGAGGAGGAGACTTCCTGCTCTGTGCCGCCCTCTGTCCGCCTGACACCTGTCCCGGGCAGGTCCCAGACGTCAAGTGGGAGGACGTCGGGGGTCTGGAGGATGTCAAACGAGAGATTCTAGATACAGTCCAGCTGCCCCTCAAGCACCCCAACCTCTTCAAATCTGGTAGTAGTTTGCGGCCCAGCTACAGGCGGGCTGACGCCCCTGCAGGGCTGAAGAGCAGGTCGGGGGTGCTGCTGTATGGGCCCCCTGGGACTGGCAAGACGCTGGTGGCGAAGGCGGTGGCGTCTCAGTGTTCGCTCTCCTTCATGAGCGTCAAGGGGCCAGAGCTGGTCTAGTACTAACCCCTCGACTGCTGCTACGACCTCCCTCCTGTCCTCATCTTTCTCCCACTGCCATGATCTCCCTCCCTCCCATCTCGCCCTCCCACTGCCCTAATCCCTACCTTCCACCTCTCCTGCTTCGTTGTCTCGCATGTTCACCCTGCTGCTCATCCCTTCCCTCCTCTTTTGACTCCCTGCTCCTTCTCTGACCTCGAAGGCTAGATAAACATGTATGTCGGGGAAAGCGAGAAGAACATCCGCGAAGTGTTCAAGAGGTTCGAGCCTGAGCGCGGCAAGAACGAGAGCACTGACGGCAGAGGGTTGCAGGGCGCGAGAAGCTGTTCCTTGCGTCGTCTTCTTCGACGAGCTAGATTCTCTCGCCCCTAACAGGTCAAGGAGGAGGAGGAGGAGGAGGAGGAGGAGGAGGAGGAGGAGGAGGAGGAGGAGGAGGAGTGCTTGCTGCTAGCTTACCGAGGTGAGCAGGGGAAATGGGGCAGACTCAGGGGGTGTCATGGACCGAGTGGTTTCTCAGCTGCTGGCAGAGATGGACGGGATAAACGAGGGAGGAGGAGCAAATCTCTTCGTTATGGGCGCGACGAACCGTCCTGACCTCATTGACCCTGCGCTTCTCCGTCCTGGTGAGTTGAGGAATGGAGGAGAGGAGAACAAGATGAAGGAAAGCATGTACACGCTATTCCTGGTATGGAGGGTAGAAGACAGCTAGGCAGGAAGCAGGAGCAGGAGCAGGAGCAGGAGCAGGAGCAGGAGCAAGAGCAAGAGCAAGAGCAGGAGCAGGAAGTAGAAATGTTTCTGCTCATCACTCCTCTCCAGGTCGCTTCGACAAGCTGCTCTACTGTGGAGTTGGAGGGAACGCAGAGGCAGGAGGAAGCTTGCAAGCTCAGGCACAGCAAGGGTGACTACGATGGCCTCGCTGACTGCTGGCACAGGTCAAGGTCCTGACGGCCCTGACAAGAAAGATGAGGCTCGATGCTGACGTGGAGCTCGCAGAAGTGGCAAGGAGATGCTCGAGTGAGGAGCCGAGCTGTACCCCAGCAGCACTTGATGCCTGGCGCAGGCAACTACACCGGAGCTGACCTCTATGCTGTCTGCGCCGACGCATGGCAGAAAGCGGCAGAGCGTCTGATTCGAGAGGCAGAGGAGGTGAACGGCCCGTCCTCCCAGGAGGGAGGAGGAGGAGGAGGAGGAGGAGGAGGAGGAGGAGGAGGAGGGAGGAAGCCGCTGACCCATGAAGATGTGGTAGTTAGTCAGGTCTGCACTGCTGTCCTCTTGCCCATCTGACTGCTTGCAGTCGGATTTTCTCGAAGCTCAAGCAGCTATCGCTCCCAGCATCACTGACGAGATGCTTGCAAGGTAAACGACCTTCTGCTTCTCTTGTCCTCAGCTCTTCGTACCTCTGACTACACTCGGATCATGACTTCTAATTGTCTTGCACGTCCCATCCCATCCCATCCCCATCCCTCCCCTTCCTTGCGTCGCAACTGTCGCTGACTTTCTGCTGATTCAGCTACGACGATCTGCGCGTTAAGTTCTCAGCAAAGCCGAAAAGATGACTCATCGAGGAGAGGAGGGGAATGCAGCATCATAGTAAATACAAGTAACTCCCAGACCTTGCCCAAGGTCCACCGGCGGCCATCCGGGCCCACACGGTGCCGGTGGGCCCGGGGGGGATGTTCGGTGGCACTCAGAGCTGTGGCTCCCGGCCCGGCCGGGTCCGTTACTCACTGGCACCTTTGAGTAAAGAGGCACCGGAGGGCCCGGCTCAGCTGTGACGGTGACGGTTACAGTATGATTGATTAGATGTAACGTTTTCAACGTCCGTCCAGGCAGTTGGTTGAGTGAACTTTCAGGATTGCAAATCGGGGGGGTTGTGAATGAGAATTGGGGGGTAGGGGTAGTTCTTGTACCGTACTCTGAAACTGAGAAACAATGGGTGATTGTTAATTTTCAATGAGGTCCTGTCTCTGTAAATGGGGTAGGGTACCCAATGGGGGGTGGGGTAGGTTATGTTCCCCGACGGACAAATCAGGGCTCTTGCCAGCTTTCCCTCTCCTTCCCCTCCTCCCTTCCTACCCAAACACACAGTAACATACCCTCCTCCCTTGTCCTCCTCCTCCTCCCCCTCCCCGCTTCCTCTCCTCTCTCATCCTTCTCCTTCCTTCTCCTCCTTCCCCTCCTCCCTTATCCTCCTCCTTCAATTTCTTTTCCGTCTCCTCAAACATTTCAACTCCACCAGACTCATATCTGGACGCCAAGTACTCTCCCTTATTCTCTCCTAAACTCTCCTCTCTCCTGTCTTCTCTGTTCACTGTCTTGTCTCCCAACCATCTACCTGTCAAGATCTTAGCCTAGCTCACGGAGAAATGTCCATTCGAATGCGGCGGCAGAGCCCTCGGAAGGAGCTTCACGCTGTTGATTCCAGCTCACCTGGTCCTGGCATGTACAACGTCGGCACTGACCGCGATATTGGGAGGACCAAGAGCAGAATGCAGGAGTGGAAGTCGCCGATGCGAAAGGTGGAGTGGTGAGCGAGAGGAGGGGAGCGGGATGGTAGGAGGTTGACCGGCTCCCCTTGACCTTCAGGTTTCTGAGGAAGACAGAATCTGCAGATGTATCGTTCCCGCAGATGATGGACCACAACGGGATCGCGAGGTTGTCAGCAGATGATCTTATCGTTTGTGTGTGTTGAGCGTGAAGGCTGTGATCCACGTGCTCTTTGTACGGTAGTTGTATGTGTCGTTGACAACATCAACGTTTGTGTGATTGTGTGCGAGTCAAGAATCAGTATGAATATTGTCAGTTTGATGGATTGCAATGGTGCAGTTGATCACAGTTGTTGTCAGAGAATGAGAATCACTGTAATGATCATCCATCTACCAATCTCGCGTGCTGCGCTGATCTGGACGGGGCAGGACGATCATCAGGTCGGAGCAACGGCTCAAAACGACGATGGGGACGAGGAGCAGTCGCTCACCCCCGACGTGCTGGGACGGCAGGAGGCCGTCGGAGAAAATCAACTATCAGGTTGCTGGACTGTGCTGGGGGAGAGCAGGGAGTTTCAGTCTTTCTCACTTGTCTGCTTCTGCCGTCAGATCTTCCAAGTGATCCCTCCCTACTTCGCCAGCTACAACCTCGGCCCGGGGTCCTACGTGGTCCAAGACGACAGGGAGATCGGCAAGACCAAGAGCAGGATGCAGGAGTGGTACGACACTGAGGTCAACGTGAGGGTGAGGTGACGGGGATGGCAGGAAGTCGCCGCTGAGAGAGACGAGCTGGTTCAACAGGACGAGCGATGCTCCTTCCGACTTGTTCGCCTTCTCGCCCTTGAAGTGCGTTGACCCCTTCATACTCTTCGGAGAAGCAGCGGAAGGGGCGGGGGGGAGGGGGAGCGGGTTGGTGGGCAGGTGGGGGGGGGGAACACACACATCCATCCTTGAAGTTGTTACTATTCGCTCAATTTGATGCTTCAGTTCTCCCTCGCGAAACAGGACGGGCGGGAGGCACTCGCATGAAAGAGAAAGGGGCAAAGGGCATGTAGGAAGGCAACCTACCACTCTCTTCCACAGGGAGAGCAGGGAGCGACGTCATTCCCGGCAGAGTTTTCCTCAAGCTGGACCACGTCAGCGTTGGCAGCATGACCTCCGTTGGACCTGATTCGCAGAAGTCGCCGTCCGTCATGAAAGTCTTTCAACTCCAATCCAATGAGTCTTCGTTGTTGACCACTGATGTGGGGTTAGATGGGC